TGGTCCTCATTCGGCCAACGCTTCGCTAACCGCAGCCATACTTGCGATTGTCTTTCGAATTTCGACTCCGTCCCTGGGAGCACCATGGAGTCGAAAACCTCGCTGTCGCCCTTCGGGGATGACCGTCGTTCGCTGAGCCAAAGTCGTTCAGCCCTACGAGCTTTCACTTCATCCCGCCTCGGTCGAGCGCGACAACGACGTGACTCTTGCTCCACGAGTTCATCGTCCTCAACCCGCTCTTCCATCGACTCCACCGGTCCTCCCTCGTGCGTGTAAGTCACCGACTGCTTAAACTTTTGCCCAAACCTGTTCGCTGTAGATCTTGAGCTGAGCAATGGCCCAGTACTCGCACCGTCACCCCAGACCAATGCGCACTACACAGGTTCATCGTCTGGGCCGCTGTCCAGCGCAACACGTCCCAGAAGATGACAGCCGCTGACCGTCTCGAATGTCCGCTGCTGCTCTGTCGCAAGAGGTTCCCAAGCCATGAGGCTATGTTGAGGCACTTGTATAGCTGCGATCAGCTCTCCACTGGCGAGTACTGGTGTTACGAGTGTGGGAAGGCCGAGAAGTTCACCGATGGGAAGTGCAAACGCTGCCTGGGGCATCCTGGGAAGAGGCGTAGGATCATGTCCATCGCGAAGAACTTCTTCTCTTCGTTGGGACAAAAGTCCAAGAACCAGGGCATGCTAGACCTTGACATGGAGGATGTATCCGACGTCGCCGTATTTCCACCACCGAGCTACGATTCTTGCATTCAACCGCAGCAGGTTGAGCTATCCTCGTGCTCCGAAATCCTAGAGATCGATTCTATCGAGGTGCCTCTTCCGACGCCGACGAATATTGACCGAGGCACCATGGAAGCCGAGCCCGCAATGGAGCCGACGGCCCAGGAATCATCCGAGTCTGTGATGCCTGACCTCTCATTCGACTGGCTCTTGCAGACCAACGTCGGTGCAAATGACAACAGCATCTCAGGCAAACCCGATCGGCCGTCATTGTCTCTGCACACTTACGGTCTCGAGCAGCGTCGCAAACAGCATCAACCTACTACTCGAACCAAGAACCTGTCTCCTAGCAATTCGCTTAGGTCGAACGCGAGTACCGACACAACAGCGAGTTATCTCGTTTCCCCTGCCTCTGCCTTCAGCGGTACCTGGACGACTGCCGAGACTGGCATCACTTCACCAACGTCCGACAGCAGTTCTAGCGGGCTGCTCTCGCGTGGTTGTTCCAATGCAAGTCGATACTCGAACTACGGTATCCAGCCCCATGCCTTCATCTCGGAACTTCCAGCAGACGACATCATGCTCCAGCCGCTTCCTCTGACTCTCTCGGACGACTTGGATTGCGACCAGCAGTTGTCTCTTTTGGACACGTCGATTTTGGCAACCCATCGAAGCGAGACTAGCACCTGTGGTCCCGGAAAGACGTTTGATGCCCCGGCCACCATGTTCAGAGCAACAAATATGGCCATGCCTGCTTTTGCTGTTGATGCCAACTCTCTTGTCGGGTCAGCATGGGATACACTGAAGACTCACATCACCTCATCCCTGGAAAAGCTGCAGCACCTCTCGCGCAATCCTCTTGTGGAACAATTACAAGGCTTATCATCACAGGATGTAGCTAATAAGGGTATTGCCGCCCTAAAGGTTCTGCTCGAGGGAATACGGCCAACAAGCAGCATCGACATGCTCTGCTTCGTCCATATCACCTACTCACTTTCTCTCATTGTACACGAAGACGACGCTCGCAACCGCTCAAAGCAGCTCTTTGCCCAAGCTTTCCTTTGCAGTGATTGGCTGGTGGGATGTGAGCGAGAACAGTATACCGAGGTGGCACTGGCGATTTGGCAGCCGCTGGATTTTTCACCCAGCGAAATGGATGTAGTGTTATCGGAACGACATCAAGTTGCAATTTCTAGGCCGTCAAGTTTGAAGGGAAAGGAGCGGGCCACTTCGTGGCCTAGAAAACAGTTGGAAAAGAATGCCTTGGAAAAGAACGCCTTAATGGAAGTAGCGTGCTTCTTCTTGGACGGTATGCCCTCCATCACACTCGTGTGGTTTCCTCGCTGACACGGATCAGAACTCGAGCGCACCGCGTTGCCGAGCAAGGACCTCGAGTCGAGCGAGGTTCTTGGCTCGATGCTGTGGACAAAGCACTCTACGGATGCCACTGACAGCTTGGTCTTAAAAGAAAGCTTGGATGCGACTTGCAGAGCGTTGCGAAGTGAGATTCCCAGAAGCTTCGCTCATGCCAAGGGCCTCAATTCAAAGATCAAGCGCATTCAGAAGCGCATCAGCAGCAGCAGTGTTCGCAGCGCAAGGAGGGTGGAGCTGGAGCTGTTGCAGGCTGGCAAGGTAGATCTCGCGAAAGGCCCATTTCCTCCTGCCTTGGTATTGACATTGCCTACAGGGATGCGTAACGTTACAAGAATACTTCGATAGCTACGTGCCCATGGTCAGGGAGCTGCTTGATGATGTCTACAATCAGCACGTACCGAGAGGGCTGTCACGGACGAGATACCACATACACGGTATCGATTTGATGCAAACCATAATCTCGCGCATCTGCGAAAAGGAGGCAATCAAACATACCACGCAGGATACCACCAACGTGATCAGCGAGGCGGCTCTAGACGAGTTCATCAGGAGCACAACAACAGCACTGGACGACTCGTGGGAAAGCTTCCTCATGGTGCAGGAGGACCCGCTTGCCATGCCAACGTCTCTGACCGGCGCTCAGATGATGATGATGGACGACACGACGCTTGCCGACACTGTAACGACCTTTTGCGAAGCCGGTGAATTGCCAACGCGCTCGACTTTTGCGATGCCGCCCACGAGAAGCAAAGTTGATGTCGAATCATTTGACGAGATGGCAAGAGCGTCTCTAAGCGGAGCGGGACAAAAGGTCGAGTTGAAGGCGAGCGACTGTTGCGAGATTTGCGGATACCAGCCGAAGGGCGACCCGCAGTGGTTCAAGGGCAGCATGGCGAAGCACAAAAAGCTGCAGCACTCGACGGCACCTCCCAAGATCTACCGTTGCCCGTATCCCGGCTGCACAAGCCAGTACAAGAACCGGCCGGATAATCTGAAGCAACACCAGCAGGACAAGGGTCACTTTGTAGACGGAGAGACAGGACGGAGGCCCAGCAAGCGCAAGAAGAGGGATGAGTAAGGTAGTTACCTGTCGGTTTTGCATCATAGAGTACCCAGCCGTCACATGTAGGATGGGTAAACGGGATTGTAATTTTGGCGCACAAGGAGAAAGCTAAAGATACCATGTTGTACTACAGAGGCTTCCTAGTCGGGGCTATGGGGGAGAGTAGTTAAGATATTGGGCGTGTCAAAACGAGTCATTGTGATATGCCTGGGAAACGGTTATGGACGATGTCTAATATTGAACTCGGACCGTGGGGACCTGACACCAAGCTGTCACTGCTCTCAAACAAGCCAGGTCGGGGTTATTGTTGCTTTTCTCGCGCTTTCATATGTGATGCGGCTTTGTCATGCACTTGATGACTATGACCTGTCCTGGTGAGAGTGGGCATACCGACCGAATTGATGACACGGGTTCGGTCGCCACGAAAAGGATGGCGTTGTCGACAAGCTTATACCGAATGGCTGGGTTGAAAGAGTTCCGCGGACAAGCTGGCAAGTAATAGCTTTGGAGCATCTCGGTCAAGTCGGTGCGAGGTCAAAATACGAGGCAGGGATATGGCCTGGTTGGGTAGGAATTCGTAGGTACCTCACTACAGGTAGTAGTAGATAGGCAAGCCGGGCCCCCACTAAAAAAGCACCACCAAGCATCCAGCTCTTTTGGAGCTCACTCGCGAGTGTCCAGGGGCCCAGGGGTGGGAGGGAGTGGTACGTAGGGCTGATTTGCGGGCTCCAGGGGGGAGCTGGGTGCTGTAGCGAGCCGCGGGACCCCCCGTAGTGTACCTAGACGCAGTGAGCGGGGAGAGGCGTACCCGTGGATCTATCCGAGGAGACAGGGCGAGCAGCTTGCGTATGCGTGATTGGATTCTCAATTGCCAGGAGGATTTGCATGTTATTTTTAATACCGTTCCTCCTTTTCATTTGGGGTTCTTGATCAAGGTTTTCGATTTTAAAGGGGACCTGAAGAGTCGAGCGCAAAACGCAATTGGAGGGGGGGCGTGTTCCGTCTCGTCCTAAGGCCCCTCCCCCCTTCCCTAGAGGCGGTTGTACCTAGCTTAGGTTAAGGCAGGTAGGTAGGGGGGGAAAGGCACATCCTGCACGCGCGCGCGCGCGAGAGAGGGTGGCACAAGCGCAGGCTTCCTACCTTCGGTACGGAGTACCTTAGGCAGGAGTGCGGATAGCAGGATTCACGCATCTCCAGCAGCTGTCAGTGTCAATTGCCGAGCCAGCCAGCACCAGGTCGAGCCCCCAAGTGACACTTTTCCCGCCTAGAGGCTAGGATGCAAGTAAACGCCAGTGGCTTGCCAACCAAATGGTATGTTGTTAGTGGGATGTGCGGTATAGATATCCGGACTGCGTTGGCGATCAAAGTCGCGATGATGGAGTGGCTGCAGCCTTTTGCAGTCACGACGACCCCAGCCTCGTCCGCTCTTTCGACCGAACGCGCTGAATAATAATCCGATGTTGCGCGTGTAACCTTCACCCTCGTCGAAACACGTTGCCTATGCGGCCTATTATTGTTACGCGTCTTCGCGTCCAACACTCGGCGGTGGCGGCTACCAAAAATCAATAAAAAAAAATGCCGGCACGGCCAACAAAGGGAACGCTTGGCATTGGGTGACATCACTGTTCTCTGGCCGGATCACGTGCTTGGGCCCGCCCCAGTATCCGTATACCGTAGCTAACTCATATCATTGGCCCGATGGGGGGGTGTCTAGTGTTTTTGGAGCCCGGGCGGTCCTCAGGCCGGCCGCTCTTCCCCCCCTTTCACCTGAAGTTTGAGTCTGGCCCCCCTTTTTTCCGCCCCAAGAACAGTTTGGGGACGCCCAAAGAAAAAAGGCCCGCGCCACAGAAAATTTCTCCCTTCAGGCCTTTCGTCTGCCCCCTCCCCCGTCCTGGTCCTCGCTCTCCCTCGCCCAAATTTTTGGCTTTCTGGCTCAGGCTCTGACTCTGGCTCTGACACCGACTCTCTGGCCTCTTCCAGTGTTGTGTTGTCGTCCACACGGTCCTGTCCACGTCCACATCCACGTCCGCGTCCCCCCTCCCCCCATCCCTAAATCCGCCCAGGTCTCTTCCATGTCCGCCTTCTCTTCCTCGCACACCACCCTTCACACCTCGCATGTTTGCTCTCCCTCCCCCTTCTTTTTTGTGCACACCTCCCAGAACCCACACACACTCCACGCCTCTCCCTCCCCCCAATCCCATTATCGACACCCCCAGACCACATTCAAGGGTTCGTTTGTTGCATCCTTTTGAGCATCTCTGGGATTCGCCTCACGATAGCGGAGGCTCAACGACATCGAGGGAACGACTTCGACGTCGACGTCGACGCCCACGCTCACGCCCTGCGCTGAGCTCCTCCCGAACCGCCTCTATCCAGGTTTTTCGCGGTCCTCGCCCTCGCCGCCAAGCGTTCTCGTCCTCGTACGTAAACGTCCGACCTCAACACTCGTTCCCTTTTTTTTTTTCTTTTCTTTCCCTTTCTCTCGTTGTCCTTCTCTGAACCCTCGACGACCCTTCTCTCGACACGATGTCGAGTCTGGGGCAGTCGGGTCCGAATAGCCATCCCGGCCTCGCCTTTCCCCAGCCCGGCATTCGACGCAGTCACGGCGGCCCAGGCTTCCCGCCTCTACACGCGAATCCTGCTCAGCAAAAACCATCACCGGGTCCTCACAACGCGTCGCCTTATCAACAACAAGCATACACGCCTCAGCAGCCTCCCCAGGCCCAATATCCCCATCATCTCTTCCAGACTCCGACGCCCGTCAATGGGAATGTCAATGGATCATCGCGTCCGCCGAGCCACGTCCCCAATGCTGCCGCCCTCGGTAGACAAAGGGGGCCTCCCCAGAGGCAGCAGATGCCCCAAAACGCGCCTTCAATGTTTCTTCCTCTAGGCAACCAGCAAGGCCTTGGACAGCAACAGGCCCTCGGCCAACAACAGGGTCTGGGACAGCAGCAGGCCCTCGGAGCTCAACAAAGTCTAGGCCATCAACAAGGCCTCGGCCAGCAGCAGGGCTTGGGTCAACACCAAGGCCTTGGACAGCAACAAGGCCTCGGTCATCAGCAAAGCTTGGGTCAACAGCAGAGTTTAAGTCAACAACAAGGCCTAGGTCAGCAGCAGCAGCAGCAGCAACACCAACACCAACAGCATCAGGCGCACCAACAACATCAACAACATCAGCAGCATCAACAGCACCAGCAGCAGCAGCACCAGCAGCAACAACAGCAGCAGCAGCACCAGCAGCAGCACCAGCAGCAGCATCAACAGCAGCACCAACAACAGCACCAGCAGCAGCACCAGCAGCACCAACAGCAGCAGAGCCTGAACCAACAACAGCAGAGTCTGAGCCAACAGCAAACCCTCAGCCAGCAGCAGCAACAAAGTCTCGCGCAGCAGCATCAGCAGCAGACCCTGAGTCAACAACAGAAGCTGAACCAGCAGCACAATCTTCATCAGCAACAGCAGAACTTGACCCAGCAGCAGATCAAAAATGAGCCGATTCTTTCCCACCAAGCTCAGCCCCAGGCCCAGGCCCAGCAAACCCTGTCTCAGCCTACACCTCCCACGGTGCAGCAACAACTGCCGCAGGCTCCCCAGGTCCAGCAAATACAGCAAGTTCCGCAACAAGTTCAGCAAGTCCAGCAGGCCCAACAAGTGCCTCAGGCCTCTCCGGTCCAGCAGCAGGTGCAACAGCCCCCGCAGCCTCGACCCGAGACGCCGGCTCAGGCCAGCGAGCACCATGGAGACAGCATGGAGGTCGAAACGCTGGCCGAAGGTGACGACTCGCTCGAACCCAAAATGCTGGACGGAACCCCGTTCGTCCCTCGGACACCAATGGGAGAGATGATGTCGGCTCCACCCGAGGGAGGCAGCTTTCCGACCCTGGAGGCCGTTCACAAAAGTGTTCTCGCGTACTGCACGTCAGTCGGCTACGCGATTGTCATTGGACGCTCCAAGAAGACAGTCCCGGGCCTGAAGAAGGTTCTGTTCGTATGCGACCGAGCAGGCAAGCCTCCGAGTCGTGTCAGCCCCGAATTCCGCAAGCGCAAGACGTCGTCGCGCAAATGTGATTGCCAGTTCGGCTTCTTTGCCATCGAACAGCGAACCCAGTGGACGATCCGATACCGACCCGATCCGCAACACCTGCAGCACAACCACGGACCGAGCGAAAGCCCGCTCCTCCACCCGGCCGCTCGCAAACTGGACAGCAAGATGGTCGCCGCCGTCAAGGCTCTCAAGGAGAACGGTGAGCCGACGAAGACCACACCACGGGAAAGAGCAGCCGCTGACTCTTCGACAGGGGTTAGTGTTAACGAGACGCTCGAAATACTTCAAAACGAAAACCCTCATGTTCCCCTACTACCTCGCGACATCTACAACGCCCGGGCTGCGATCAACCGGAATCCACAAAAGGTGGCCACTGGCCTGGCCGAGAACCGACCGGCGATCTACAGCAAACCACACCCCACGGCTGAAGAGCGTATCCGGGCAGACCTCCGGAAGGAGCTCGCCAAAGCCCGTGAGGAGTTTGACAAGTTCAAAGAGGACAAGCAAAAGGAGGTGGATGAGCTGAAGGAGAAGCTCAAGGAGAAGGACCAGATCATTGAGAGGTTCGAGATGTTTATCGACATCTGTAACCAGCGTGTCATGGTTCAGCGGGAAAGGCTCGGTGGCGCTGAGGGGGCTGCCAATAGCGGTAGCTAAACAAAAAACAGGAGAAGAGCGGGTGGTTCAATCCAGAGGGTATCCTTGCATGGCAGGTTGGGACTGGGAATTGGGTTTGAGGATGGGCTTGTACGATGCTTTCTTTTCTGCGTCGCGGAAGCATGGCCGTTGACAGTTCGGAGAGCAAAGCAGGATGGGACCAGGTGTTTTGATTTGGTCGGAGTCATTTATGGTCGTGTTCCTAGGTCCCGCTAGAGCTTGGGGCCACAAGGTAGTTTTTGCCTCTTGGCTTTCCTGGTTTTTTTTTTCTTTTTCTTCTTCTTTCTTTCTTATTCTTTCTATTTGGAAGTCTGGGACTGCATTGGGCGGGTTTTAGCAACAGCAAATATCGCGCGAACATGACTGAAAGCAAGCATTCAACTTCTGATTCCATTCCCGCTGTGTCAATTATAGTAGAAAGCACTTATATGATGAAGCCTGGGCACCGTGGTCAGTCGGCCACAGGCCGCGTGCAGCGTGCCAGGCGCGTCACGGCGCGTCACGGCGACATTTGATGTTAAACGAGGCTACGACAAGTTGTCAGGGACGGCTGAGCTTGGACATTGCGAGGCTAGTGGGGCAGGGCGCGCGGGTTGGCGGGCAGCTGCAGCTCGGACTACCAGGGGCCGCTGCTAATTAAGAGGCGATTTTAAGAGTAATTTCGGGGCCCTCAGATAGCGCGAGGGCGGGCGCTGGGTTGTGCGGTAAATTAAAACTATGGTATGCTCTTGTGTTTTGGTATCACCTTACTTCAACGGCCAGGTCAGGAGATGACACATGGGCGACGACGCCGAGGGTTGAGTTGGCAAAAAACCCAACAGGAGCCCTGCATTATGCGGGCGGGCATGTGAAGAGCTGCCGGCCTCGCGTTGCGAAGTTGGAATCGGAAACGGAGGTATAGAAAATGGGTACCGTATGTACCTGGAGTCATGTGCAGTTGTATAGGTACTTCAAGCATCACTCTACGCTAGCATGTGAGATAAGAAATGCAGACGCGTAGATAGTCGTGTTTTGCTTGCCATGCACGAACGATTTAGGTTAGGGAAAGGAGGGGGATGCAGGTAGGAAAGGGAAAAGAATAAAACCCTGAAGGATTAGCGGCAGCCCGATCCGTGGCGGACATGTACAGGGAAGGGACCTTGGATGCAGCATTGCAGAATTATGTTTTGTTGGTGCGGACAGGACGGGATGGGATCGGATCGGATGGGAAGGGATGTAGAGGTGGACAGAAGTACGGGAACAAAGGGAGGGCGTCGGGAGGAGCTCCCGGAGAGGGGCCAGATGGGTACACTTGACAGCGTGTCTAAGCTCCTCTTCGATTGTTCCCTCCTCTGTTAGGTAAGCAATGCTAGCAATGCTACCTATGCACGTAGGTACCTAGGTAGTATTGTGCTGTACAAGTCTCCATGCTCAGAGCTACCTTAGGTAGGTAGATACCTAGTGGTTTGGTGAGACTGAGCAACGTACCTACAGATAAATAACTTGCAGAGACGTGCGACCAATCAAATTAGCCCCGCAGTCCTTGGTGGGATTGGCTCACTAGTGGCCAGCAAACCTCCTGACACATGCCCGTCGCGACAAGGATCCTGCTTGATCGCGTAAAACCCAGCGACCTCAGGGAAAGGTGGGCATGCAATGTACCTTCCCGCCGTTTTCAGTGCTAGATGTACATAGTGCCCTAATTACCCTCCCGTGCTTGCTGCAGAGACATGCTTAAGGCGACGTGAAAGTGGAACCGTGGACAAGTCAACCGTCTGGAAAGTCAACATTGCAGATTGTCCCGTCCCGTATCGTTTGTGCTGTAGACCCTTTTTTTGTCCACGACACATCGCGAACCTGAGCTGCGCATCAACCCGCCGCCAATAATCAGTGACACATAAACGACGACGACGAGGATCCTTATCCATTACCGTACGCGATACCCCCCAACGTCCGCTCGAGGATATCCAACTCTCCTTTAGCACCTGATTGCTTGCTTGCTTGCTTTCTCTATTACTGTTTCCACTTCTTTTCGTCCCACCGCCTTCCGACTCGTTGGCTCTGCGGCCGGACAATCATCGACTCTGAGGTCTGCCCTCTGACTTGACAGACATACTGTCACACCGCAGCTTCTCGCCTAACGTCGTGTCTGTGATGATGCCGACTTCGACCCTGTAAATATCGTCTTTTTGCCTCGTCCGAAATAGCCCACCATGGAGGTGGCATCCCCTCAACTACCGGGAGCGAACGGCGTCGTCTCGCCCATCGCCGACCCCTCCATCGATCCGAGCCGCGTCCTCGACCACATCGCTTTGGCCTGCCAGATAGCCCTCGGCGCCACCAGCGAAGACCTCGAGAGCCCTGGAAGCTTGCTTCACAAGCACCGCTACTCTGATACGCTCCAGCGCTGCACCCGCTTCGCGACCGACACCCCGAACGCCTTGTACATTCAGAAGGACCTCCTACCAGCCTCCACAATACAGAATGGAACCGACGACTTGAGTTCGTTTGACCCGCCAGGCAACGCGCTTCTCCGCGGACACACAGCTAACCACGCAAACTTAGAGTCCCCGGCCTACATATACTCCCTGACCACCGAGATCTCTTCGTCCCCGACGACCGTCTCGTGCCTCGTTTTGCTCAAGCAGCGCCCCGGCCCCATCGACCCCACGATCCCGCTCACTTCTCAGATACTTCTCACTAATCTGCCGGGCCCTGCGACTCTGAACGCCACCGCCGGCGACCAGGGCCCTTCCACTTCGCCCTTTGAGGTTTTGCACTCCTATGTTCACAACGCGCTGGCGCCCTACTTCGATGCCAACACCCGCAGCCAGATCGCCAACGGCGCCAGGGGCAGGGCCGATGTGGACTCGAAGACGGGAATCCCCGTCACCAAGAAGAGGTGGAACGACTTGGAGTTGAGCTTGCTTCACCTGCAGCAGAATGTCGAAATCCCCGAGGTCTCCTTGATGTTCCACACCATGGTGCAGAACGCGTTGGAGGAGGCCGAATCGCGGCATTCGAAACCCTCTCTCGATCTCATCCCCAGCACCGTTCTCTCCGACAGTACCTTCCTCAACAGCCTGCAGAACAACGTCAACAGTTGGATCAAGTCGATCCAGGTCATCACGAGAATGACCAGGGACCCCGCCGATAGCGCAAAGGATTTCAAGTTTACCGCCAGTCAGGAAGTCAACTTTTGGCTTTCGATGGAGTCCGCCTTGGAGGGAATCGAAGGACAGCTCCGCAGCGAGGGCGTTCTCTTGACGTTGGAGATCCTCAAGCACGCCAAGCGTTTCCAGGCGACTGTGAGTTTCACCGCCGACACGGGCTTGAAGGAGGCCATGGACAAGGTCCAGAAGTACAACCAGCTTATGCGGGATTTCCCCCTTGACGAGCTGCTCTCCGCAACATCCATGTCCAAGGTGAAAGATGCCATCATACAAATCTTTGGCCATCTGAACAGGAAACTAAGGATCTGCCCGTATCCCATCCGGAGAGCTCTGCCGCTGGTGGAGGCCATCTCCGGAGACTTGGACGAGGTGCTGCATCGACTTTTGCCCGGAACAGAACTCGTGAACCTCGACTACAACGAGTTCAAGGCTATCATGAAGGCCAGCGAGGACATCTTCACTACCTGGG